CCATTGCGTTGTCATCAAGCCATTTGGCTGCTCTGGCCTCATAAGTGCGGCACAAGAAAAGAACTAGTTGATTCAATTAAAGCCATACCAATTCAACTTCACTGAGAGCCAGCCAAGAAGGTTCTTTCAGAGAGAAAATAGAGGGAGAAAGCGCTAAAGGTAGAGGAGAGCCTTCTTATTCCATCTGTCTCGGATTTGAGTGCACATATTAATGTCATCTAGGTAGTCTCAATGCGTCTCCCATTGTGCATTTAACAGTAGTGTTTTTTTCCCAGGACAGTTTAGCAATTGAACACAACATGAAGCAAAAACCGTGTTTATGAGTGTGATAGTCGCGGTCTGTCTGTGCATGTGTTTGTCGCAGGGGCCAGCAGTGGCCGCTTGTCACCGTGAATAGGCTCAGGGTGGTTCACATCATTGGGGCATTGAAGGTGTCTCCTCCCCTGTTGTAAAACAAGGGTGTGTGTCACATGGGGACACAGGAGGCATTGTACTCATCGCAGAGGCTACCGTACCACCCAGAGTGTTCCCTAAATCTAATCCCCCACAACACCTCCCCACGACCCTGTCCAGCCCACGGCCACAAGCCTGTCCTGACCACTAACTGCGCAGGAGAGCAGGATGGAGCGTGAAGGTATAAGTCAGATATGGACATTGGATGCATGCGTATATAGAAAGAAAGAGAGCGTGGGATGAGATTGAGGCCTGGAAGAGGCGAGGGGGCGTGTCTGTGAGTTTCCCCTAACAAGATAGGTCAATGGTATGATTGATGGCTGCAGAAGTGGGAACAAAACAAGGGGAGGTGATAAAAATCAGAAAAGAGGGGAAAGAATGGAGAAGGAACGAGGGTCTTGTATCCGAGTTAGGGACGTCTGTGCGAGTGTGTGGGAATATTTACTGCCCTGCAGAAGTGGGAGGCTCTGACTTGTTGCTAATTAGCGGGGAGGCAGCATCTGAGCTCTGGTTTGTTTGTGGGTGGAAATAGTGAGTATGCAAGGGTTCAGTGAATATGACAGGATACTAGGGCAAAAGAATGGCTACACTGACCACCTAAGATGACCCCCCTTTTCACACTCGCATATACATACCTAAAGTTCCAAACACCTCACTACTTTCCCCCGCCTCTTACAAATTGATGTAAATGAGCTGTGCTTTTAAAATAAAGGCAAATAATTTATGGGCATCTGTCAGTTTCCTGGGTTAGAAACACGCAGTGAGGCAAACTGCCGGGCTCTTAAACTGAAGAGTTCAGGCTTGTGTTTTTAAGAGGGGTCCCTTGTCATCTGAAGTACTTTGAAGAGGATCTGCAAACTATCGCAAGCTGGGACACAGACAAACAACACATTAGGACATAGCCACAGTATGAACAATGCACAAGCTGTTTGTCTGTCAGAAATGACTATCTTTTGCTTCTTGGTGCAGTCAGCTGGGAACACGTCTTACATTACATTACATTGTTTTTATCCAAATGATTCAGAAAGTCAATTGCAAAGTTTTTGCATCAAAATAAAACCTTTCTATTTCTTGTATTTTATATTAATAAAAAAGGAAGTTTGACATCACTAATCACCCTGGACTAAACTTCCTTTCTTCTTTTCAAGCTTCCATGATTTGTTCTGAACTTCCTTCCAAGTTTCAAAATGCTCTTCTTCCAGTTTCCTTCAAAATGGTGAGGCAAACTGCCGGGCTCTTAAACTGAAGAGTTCAGGCTTGTGTTTTTAAGAGGGGTCCCTTGTCATCTGAAGTACTTTGAAGAGGATCTGCAAACTATCGCAAGCTGGGACACAGACAAACAACACATTAGGACATAGCCACAGTATGAACAATGCACAAGCTGTTTGTCTGTCAGAAATGACTATCTTTTGCTTCTTGGTGCAGTCAGCTGGGAACACGTCTTACATTACATTACATTGTTTTTATCCAAATGATTCAGAAAGTCAATTGCAAAGTTTTTGCTTCAAAATAAAACCTTTCTATTTCTTGTATTTTATATTAATAAAAAAGGAAGTTTGACATCACTAATCACCCTGGACTAAACTTCCTTTCTTCTTTTCAAGCTTCCATGATTTGTTCTGAACTTCCTTCCAAGTTTCAAAATGCTCTTCTTCCAGTTTCCTTCAAAATTACATTAAAAACGGCACTGTTGGACAGAAGTAATCTGATTTTCTTCCTTTCTAAATTATCACAACAAACAAAAACGACACCATTAACGATGGGGTGGTTTAACCATGTCTGCAACTGGAAAGTTCCTGATTCAAGTCTTTCAAAAGAACAAGCCATGGAGCCATGAATTATGATCAGTGTCTGTAAGACACTTCATCCCAGGTTACTCCAGAGGGATTGTGCCTGTAATATAGTAAAAGCACTGTTATTTTGTCATACCCTTTGGATCTGACACATACTGTGGTATAACCATAATTATACTCCTCTGTTTTGCAACAATTTTTTGTTCCTTTATTCTCCTCTCACCATCCCATCTGTTCTTTTTGGCACATTCAATTTCCTTTCACCTTGAGAAAGAGAGAGTGAGAAAAGGGCCAGGGTCTATAGCGAATTGCACCAATTTACAACAAACAAACCCCCCCATTGCTAAAGGTTGCACATTATTTAATTGCAGAGAATAACAGGAGCACAAGATGGAGAGATGATAGTTATAACAACAAATATTATGATGATGAAACTAAATCAGTGCATTATTGCATATACAAAAACATTATTTTTATGCACTCACATAACCAGCTTTTCCCCCATACAACGGATTTGAACCTGTTGCTTTTGCACATGCAAACACACTAAACAGTTTCTAACAGTGTGAGGTACATGTATAGATACAAGTGCTAATTGTTTTTTCTATATGAGAGTCCATTTTCTTTATAGGGTGTTCAAAGTCAACCCTAATCCAACAAGAGAACCGCACCATCCAGACAAATGCCTCGTTAAGAGACTTCCCACAACACACACGGACACATAAGGTCAGCACACATAACAGTTTTCAATCATGTATTGGAATGGGGTTACAGAGCCCACACCTCTCACACTGTCATCAGCGAGTTAACACCCAACTCTCAGTGGTCACGCTTGCCAGGTTGAGTGTTTAACTGACAGGTGGGAATGAGGGAATTGTATATGTTTGTGTGTTTAGCAAGCAATCTGTAATGAGGGGGCAGTGTGTGTTTAGGCCTGTAATGAGGTGTGGGAGAGAAGCGAAGACCTTAATAGGCAGCAATTACTGAGTGTGTTGTCGCTGAGCGAGTCTATTTGAGTTTCTCTGTATACGTGTGTGTTTGTGTGCCTGTGTTGCAAAGGTTACTTTCACACCTACACTCTAGCAATTCCAGCAGAGAACATTTGATTGACAGAATATCAAAGATACGGACCCAATTTCAAAACAAACCTTTGTATATATGTGTGAGAAAAAAGGGGGGGGGGAAAGGTTTTATTATCTGTTGTATCTTTAATCTTTTTTTATTAGTTTCCTAATAATTACTCATTTGTTAAAAAAGAAATGTAAATTATTAAAATATATTTTTAAATATTAATATTAAGTTAATTTTATGGCACCTAAAAATGATTATATATTGGATTATACATACATACGCACCTATACACAATTATATATATATATATATATATTTATTTATTGTATGCTTTAGGTAATGCATGTTTTGTAACGCCAATAATGCACCTTAAAATTTAAAATTTTAAGCTAAAATAAGAAATAATACATGTTGGTTTGAGAATGTGGCACCTAAACATGATTTTGAAAAATAACATTGTATATCAACAACTTTTAAAATCTTGTAAGAAAAAAAATTATAATTTTCAAAAATCTAATTTAGATGAATTTGAAATAATTTTAAAGCAGCAAGTAGTTTAGTAATAATGCATAGAAGTTGGAGCTATGATACAGTTGGTAATGCACATAGAAAGTCAGGACATAGAAATATATAATGTGCTGAAGGGGACACAGATTCAAATCCAGCTTGCATCTGGTCCTGATCCTATTTCCCTCTCTCTCTCCTTCCACTTTCCTGTCTGGTCCACACTATCCTTTCAATTAAATGCAAAAACCCCATAAACAAACAAACAACAACAACAGCAAAACACAAAGAAAAGTTACATGCTATGTCATCTCCCTCCGATGCACTTTGACTTTTGGATGACCTGGTGACCACCTCCCGGGGGTACTCTAGTTTTGGGATAGTCCCCGGGATGACCTCATCAATTAAGATGACGATGAGTTCAACAGCAGTCAGCCACCCCATTGCCATCTCTCTCCCTCTCTCGGTCACTCTGTACATCCTTTGTCTCCATTAGTTTTCATCTCTCTGTGTGCATTCCATCATTAGACACATCTCTCGATCTCTCTCGCTGTTGTCTCACCCCTTCACCTCAGCTGAACTTCATTTGCCCTCCACTACAGTAGTTACTCCACTGTACTCCTCCTGTAATTTTTTCAAATACAAAAATTATTATTTTTCTCCATGCCAGAGTGATGCATTTATTTGTAAAGACACAATAGGGTTAAAAAAACATTTTAGTTTAAAAATTCAATAAATAAAACATGACAAATGCATATTCATAGTTTTCTTCTTTTTTTTAATAAATAAAATTCTGTATTATTTCTAGGAAAATAAATACGTTTGTAATCTGACCATGCTAACTTTGTACATAATGGTCATGGATTTTGAGTTCATGCAGCTTGAGTGACGCTATCAATAAAGCAAAATATGAGCAAACCAAATACTAAGACATTTTTAGAGTTGTTTATTTTTTAAGTCAATCTTTAGACTTACATTGTTATGAAAGTATAATACAACACAATGTAATGTAATGTAATATAATATAATAAATAATAAACACGAAAGAACAAGCATTTTCATATGTGGACTTCGAACCTCTTTGCATATAATATAAAAATATTAAATATAATAACAATAAATGTGGAAAAATTAGAAGCATTTTCAAAAGTAAACAGAAACTGTAAAATCCAGGCACCGTCTAACTCAGAAAGAGTCAAATGAAACAGCTCAGCATGTTCGAGCATGTGTATGCAAGACAGAGGAAAAAGAAGAGAGAAAAGTGAAAGAAAGAGAACATAGCTCTGATCGCTGATGGATATGTAAATCCTGATAGCGGCCCGCTCTCCAGGGATGCCCCTTCACCCCTGCTTTCCCACCCCACACAAGAGATGAGGAACCGGGCCGCACTGAAGCTTAGCGGCCCGAGATCTTCACTCCCCGGATGATAATCCCACTGTCCAAAGGCACGGATAACGAGAAGAGGACCATAATCCTTTTGTCCTTCTGTGTCACATATGTCGCTTAACACACTGTCTCTCCATCACAAGACTTCATCCAGAGCTGCAACAGATTGGCCCCCTCCAAAAAAGTGCTTGTCTTCCCTACTGTCCCTCCCTCTTCCTCCATACATTTTACATACACAATAACATCACCCGCACAAACCAAGACCTTTCAAAAACAACACAACAAAGCATCATCTTCACAAACTCCCCAGGCTGGGTTTGTATCAATGTTGCATCTCCATATTGCTGTGTTGGTGGCATGCAGTGGGGTGTGTGTGAGAATATTTACGGTGTGTGTGTGTGTGTGGACGTCTCAGGTTAAGATGCACCCTTCGCCTCCCTCAGCCCCACGCCGCTTTGTGTCAGAGAGGACCTGTTGGTATCCGCCTTTGTCATTGAGTGTGCATGTCCATGGGCATATGGTTGATCCACCTCCAATAGGTTCATGTAGGCAGAAAACAGCCATTCATACGCCTATTCATTCAAGCTGCTAGAGACACAGATTACTATGTCATAACACAGAGGGAGGGGGAGAGTGATAGTGAGAGAGAAAGAGAGATTACTTCATAAACTTACTCCGATCTCTATGTGTGGCGCTGCTCTGGTGTTTGAAAAGATTGAGCCATTGTGATTCTTTCAGGCCTCGGTGCAATGCTTAAATTTGTTGCATCAAAAAGAGATGGTGTGTTTGAATGCAAGTCTGGGTTTTACTGTTGTGAATCAAACACCATAAGGCCTGGGGGATTTGCACAAAAATGCTGAAGTGCTGCTAGTGAATGGCATTAGCATATTGTCTAATATCTATTCTCTTATATGTCAGATTTTGCAATACTTTCTCATGAAAGTCAGTGTATAGGGCAAATCTGAGGAACAAACACTGGTAAAAATGTGAGATTTTTCAATTCATTCATGAAACATTATAGCATTATAATGTGCCAGCAAACATTTTATGGGTTTGTCACGGACAGGTACTTTGTTGTTGGAAAGAATTGGAATCATAGAGGACAACAGGCTCATTCTTGCCTATTTCTTTAAGACAAAATACATGGAAGATATTTTGTCAATATTCAATTGCTTTTGAATCAAATGTAGCGGCAACCATGTAAACATTTCCCCACAATATTGTATACATTCACTGTGCTATCTAGGCAGTCAAATTGGTCAAATATTTCTGACAAATGCCATTTTCGATGCGTACAATACATACAATGTGCATCAAATGGTTATTTATTTACATGACTATAATGTCACAGTAGATTTCTAAGGAAAAATTAAAGGTATAGTTTGTTTCTTCATTGGAAAAGATTTGTTTAGAGTTGCACAGCTAGGAAACTCTGATATAAAAATTATATCACAGTTTCTCAACTTGTACGGGAAACAATTTCTCAACTTGAGAAAACGTTCACATACGATTTTCAACTGTGAAGGACATTTGGACAATATCAAGACAGCTTTTTGGCAAAGAACTTCACCATCTTCCTGAAACCTTCCAAAAATGTTTGTAAAGTGTTGTTAAAACACTCTTCCTTTCCAAGTTACTATGCAGAGACAATTATATATTCTTACATAAAAAAAAACCTATTGTAACTGATACAAATGTACTAACCTTGGCCTTGAGGTGCTATCAAAACATTGTTCTGCATACTGATCAGCCTGATACAGGAACACTGGGTCAGGGCTATATGTTTTCAAACCAATGGCAGTCAGGGAGAGTGTTCAGGAAACCTGTTTGAAAACAATCATTATTTTAAGGCACATACATTACACACAGTGACAGAAAATAATGACATGCAAAGCTTCAGATTACTTCATTCTTTTATATTATTATATCCTTGAAGTGTCCTCTTTTCTCTTTCCAAATCAGTGTATATCTAAATTTGACTTTCCTGACCTCTGCGCTGTCTACTTGTCTAACTGGCTTGTTTGTCTCTCTCTCTCTCATGGCTCAGCTCTGACTTCATTATACTCGGCATGTCCATCCTCGATCACCTTTTCTGCCCTCCTAGGACAAAAAACCTCTCTTTCTGACAGTAACGCCCATCACTGTGTCACTTCCTCTCATTCTGATGACCTCTCGTTCTCAGGCCCCAGTCACTTGTTCGCCAACAGTGTCAACTCTGTCATTAAAGGCACATTGTCCTTATTAATTAATGAGTGCTGTTGTTTTTTTCCTTCTCTCCCTCTCTACATACTTATTTGGGCAAATGTGGATTAACATATTCATGAGTCGGCCAGCTTTGCAGCAGCTTGCTCACGAATGGGGCGGCTCTGTTTAGCCCCTGTGTTTTTGTCTTCCTCCATACCTAACCTCGTTTGCTGGGCAGATCCCTGAACCATTAGAGCTCATGATCCCTTTATGCCAGCGAGACTCAGACAGGAGGGTCGGGTTATGAACCCAAACACTGCTGTTTCACGCACCAGTGAACACACCCCGGATAATAAGGCTCAAATGCTAAGTGTTACATTGTGATTAAAATGTCTGTGTTACAACTTTATCTAGCCACAATAAACAATGCTCCTCCACCACAAACTGCGGCGGCTTCTGATATTGTCCCAGAGCTGCTCAAATGTTTCCAGCCCTGGTTATTTTGCTGGGTGATCAGACAAAGAGATGTTTATTTCATCATGGCATATGCAGGAACATAATCATTAAGAAGCATTTAATCCCAGACATCATTAATGTTTTAAATGATTTTTACAAACATGACTTAATTTTTCACTGTAAACATAACCTAAAACCATTGGTGCTTATTTTGCATTTTAAACATAGTATTGTGTATATGAGTAAAGTGACTATACGAGTACATTTGATTACTGATTTATCATTATTAGTTTATATTAGATATTAAATTATACATGCTCGTTTCCTATATTTTTACATTAAAATTACATTTGCTGACATATAACTCATATCTAATAACAGCGCTATATAAATAAAGGTGACTTGACTTGACTTGACTTAATAACACTGTTAAAAATGTAATATTTAACTAATCTCAATGAATATCAGTGCATTATAATGTTGTAATGCCTAAATTCACACATTAGAACACTTTTGTGTTTTATTTTGAATGTACAGTATTAAGTCAAAAATAGTATAAAATTGTATTACTGTATATTCATTAGTTATCAGCCATAACATGAAAATAACTAGAGTTTTCATTCAGAATTTAAAATCCCTAGTGTATCCCTAATTTGATTTACATATGACAAATCCGTAATCTCAATAATAATTAAAAAAAAATGTATACACTTTTCTGTAACTTGATGCTTAGTTGGGGACACTTCATTTCCAGCGTTATCGTTGACATAATTGCAAAGATATTATTTAAACTGAGCTGGATGTTGACATCACTGAATTCAATGATGAACTGTCTTTAACTGAAAAATGAGTGTTTACTGTTGTCATTTTGCATTATTGACACTATTTTCCTAATTAATGCTGTTCAGTTGCTTTGTCACAATCTGTATTGTTAAAAGCGCTATATAAATAAAGGTGACTTGACTTGACTTAACACTGTTAAAAATGTAATATTTAACTAATCTCAATGAATATCAGTGCATTATAATGTTGTAATGCCTAAATTCACACATTAGAACACTTTTGTGTTTTATTTTGAATGTACAGTATTAAGTCAAAAATAGTATAAAATTGTATTACTGTATATTCATTAGTTATCAGCTATAACATGAAAATAACTAGAGTTTTCATTCAGAATTTAAAATCCCTAGTGTATCCCTAATTTGATTTACATATGACAAATCCGTAATCTCAATAATAATAAAAAAAAAAATGTATACACTTTTCTGTAACTTGATAAGAAAGTATTGGCAATTAATATGCATTTAATACACAAGAGGATACACAAGATATTGCTAACCATATCTTTATCACCCAATAAAAATGTTTTCCTTTAGGATGATTTTGGAAGTTGGTAAGGTCAGGGCTTATACATTTATTTTCTTCAAATTAAAACATTTAACCTTCTGTTAAATGTTTTCTTAAAACACTAAAGACAGTTTTTGTTTCTATACATGCCTAATTTAATTTGAATTCCTGATCAAAACTTTCATTCTAAATGACTCAATGTCAGAATGTAAAAATTACAGTGTATATCTGTTACAGCGTCAGTGTATATCCACAGAAAACATGTTATGAAATATGAAAATTTGTGTAAGTGTAAGGGACCGTTTACTGCAAAGTGTTTTGGAGGGAAATTATAAAAAATTAGGAAGGTCTGTATTTAAGTGATTTATTTTATTTTTTGCTTTAAATTTCCTGAGGAGCAAAAGCAACAGCCCATCTTATTAGCCATTATTAGTTGTGTCCATCACAAAGCCTTGCTAACTGCTTAACACACACGCACACATAAACTGAATCAGTCTCTCCCTCCAACTCACTGCTTACACATTTACTCACACACACTAAAACAGTCTCTATCTCCAACTCTCTGCCTCTTGCCTGCTACACACGTGCACACACACATACAGAACTAGCACTCACCAATTTGTAGCCTGCACAGTCACATTGTTTGTTGAGGCTTGCAGTGCAGGCCGCTTCGTTAGCTTGGCCTTTAACGAGCTGCTTAATTGAGCTGTCTAGCGGGCCACCTGTCGCCCCGCACCTCATTAGCATACTAATGCTCCTACATTGTGCTGCAGTGACAGCCAGAGAGAGAGAGAGAGAGAGAGAATTAAAGGATAAAGTGGGTGGAATGGAGATAGAGATGTTATGATTAACCAATTTTTCACAATTACTAAAAAAAAAAAAAAAAAGTATATATTTAGGTGCATTAATGTGACAAAATCATGCATATTAAACTATGTGGCATTCCCACATAAGGTTTTATTATATTTACCTGTTCAAGCTCTTCCTAAATATTAAAACTTAAATAATTCAAATGAAATTACATTAAAAAAAACTTCTTTACAAACACCTGAAGGTGTTACCAGAAAAATGTGATTAATAAGTTAGACGTACTGTTAACATTGAGCAACCAAATGTGTTACGTGTCAAGCAAATGATACAGCTTTTAACAGCCAAAATGAATGTGATCAGCGATTCATCTTATCACTGAGCTGGATGTAATTGGGCAATGCTAGTGCAATAATCATGGAAAGGATTAATAGGCTTTTTCACCTTTTTATTGGGTGCACACATAGTTGCTCAAGTGCCTGCTTTCATTCAATTCATGACATGCAGCTGCAGCACCAAAGATCTACCTGCCAGGAAGAGAACTCTTCCTAAATATTAAAACTTAAATAATTCAAATGAAATTACATTAAAAAAAACTTCTTTACAAACACCTGAAGGTGTTACCAGAAAAATGTGATTAATAAGTTAGACGTACTGTTAACATTGAGCAACCAAATGTGTTACGTGTCAAGCAAATGATACAGCTTTTAACAGCCAAAATGAATGTGATCAGCGATTCATCTTATCACTGAGCTGGATGTAATTGGCCAATGCTAGTGCAATAATCATGGAAAGGATTAATAGGCTTTTTCACCTTTTTATTGGGTGCACACATAGTTGCTCAAGTGCCTGCTTTCATTCAATTCATGACATGCAGCTGCAGCACCAAAGATCTACCTGCCAGGAAGAGAAAGAGAGAGAGAGAGAGAAGTGCAGTGTTTTGTGAATGGTCAAATGGTTTGACAGGTATTGTTGTGTGTGATTAGAGCATTCAGTACAGCCATGGGCTAAATTTGCGTCTAAACACACTGTAAACTGAAGAGGCCTTTAGACCCGGCACAGGACACAAACGAATATGTGATTTACATACTTGATCTGTCACACACAGAAAAAAAACTTTTGAAGACAAGCTCTGCACTTACACTTTTTAGCCCTGACCCTCAGAGGCCAAGTCCACACCAGATGGAGAGCTGTCAACCTCAACCATTGATGACCATGAACTTTGACCTGTAATAGGCTGACCACTCACACTGATCGTCTGACACATACCCACACAAACTTCACAATCACACATGGTTGATATTACTTACTGTATATCTGGCTTGCTATTCCACTGGCCAGAGGGAAATATTCAGTGGCGAGGGTCTGCCAGGAGTTCATTATATGATGAAGGATTCTTGCTCCCACTTACCCATTGCAGCAGGTGTAAATAATTGCTCCAAAACACCCCTGAGAGACACTTAAAAAGGAAAGACAAACATGATGACACTTAGCAAATCGGTTTGAAAGACTAAAAAGTACTTCCTGTTTGCAAAGGAAGCAACTGGGCCAGCTAAAAAGCTAAAAGTCTAAGAGTACATTTGCATGTGAGCTCGTGCATTTGATGTGCACTAATGTGACAGCAGAAAGCTGGCATGGGGAAACCAGCACACAAAAGATGAGAGGCACCACACTGGGCGACCTGCTCTGCTCTTTTTCAGTCCCAGAGAAAAGTGTGAAATACTTTACCTTACTGCACAGATGCCGAATCATGTAAAATACCAATTAATGCAAATAATTAGTTTAGGGACCATTTCTTACTATTCACCAGTTGCTTATTGGTATGCACATTACTAGCATATTGGCTGTTTATTAGTACTTATAAAGCACATATTAATGCCTTAATCTGCATGACCATATGTTAGATCCCTACCTGTAACACTTTAGTATAATGGCCAATTCTCACTATTAACTATGCTTGTTAGCATGCCTATTATTTACATATTGGCTGTGTATTAGTACTTATAAAGCACATATTCTGCATGACCATATTCTACATTCCTAATCCTACCCAATACCTAAATTTAACAACTACCTTACTAACTATTAATAAGCAGTAAATTAGTAGATTATTGAAGCAAAAGCCATAGTTAATAGTGAGAATTGGAATTTATAGTGAGAACTAAAGAGTGGCCATGCAGTTTTTGGCGCAAATGCCTAATCATTTCATTTAATTTAATAAAGAAATAATAATAATAATAATAATAATAATAATAATAATACATAAATACAATAAATAACTAAACAAATTAAGTTAATAAATAAAAATAATAAAAATAATAATAATAAAAAAATAGTTGAAACATAAATAATTATTTAATACTTCATTTAACTGTTACCAAAACCAAAGATAACTGAATTTTTTCATTAGAGAATGCACTTTTAATTTTCTTATCATGCAGTTTTCATATTTTTGGAGCTAATGTTTAAAATCTGTTGTACTTTTAGTACTAGTACTTTTGGCAAGAATAAAAGTAAGTGTCCGCTGATCACATTGTACTTGCTGGACAAGACTGATCTTTAAATAAAGAACAAGAAACAAAATATGCCTGGCCGTTGGTAACAACGGTACCAACAACGGCTGATAGCCATTGAGAAAGAGGGCAGAAAAAGGCAATGGCCATAGAAAAGAGGTAAGAAAAGGAATTGAAAGGGGGGTGTGGGAGTGGGGGGAGGTTGTATCTGAAAAGGTGGCTTTTCACATCCATGCCACACACACATTCAATTCTGCTGGTAAATACTGGGTCTGGACAAACCACCATATGCTAATAAACACAATTTACACGTCAAAATCAGCATCTCTGTCCCTCTTGCTCCCAAACTCATTCTTCCTGCTCTTTCTTTCCTCTTTTTCCCCTCACCCCTCGTTAATTACCGTATGTCTTTCGCTTTGATAGAGAGTCTCTTGCACGAATTAGTACAATATTGCTGCCCCCTTTAAAGCCCAACCCCCAGTGCCCCCTTCGTCCCCCCCATCTTGTTGCATTGGGCCACCTTGTACACGTATTGGTACCGGGTTTGTCAGTATAACACTTGTCAGTGGCATGCATATGGAAATGTGAGTCTCCATTTTAGCTGCTAATTCTGCATCCCCTCTAAGGCCCCTTGCTGTGTGCCCCCCACTATCACAACTAGGGGATGCTGGGACCTCATGCTGGGGGCAACAAAGCATTGCACTATTGAGGGATGGACAGGGGTCAGTGCAGGGGTACACTAACAGACAGGACACGCTTCTCTGGTCAAACACCAGCACACCCCTATATTCTGAAGCTGGAATGGCTCGGCCTGACATTGACCACCTGCCATATGTGCTTAAAGTATCAAGTAGAACTGTGGGTTAATATCTGTAATAAGCACAATAATATTTATTATTTGAAAACAGATGAATAAAAGAAAATAACTTAAAACCAGGCCACATTTTTACAACCACCTGCTTTATGGATCAAATAACAAACGTGTGATCTTTTATGCAAACAATAGCAGCACAAAACTGAACAATGATCCTTCTTGTGTTTTAAATGAACAAAAAAAATAAAAAACTGAAAAACCTTTCAAATGTTGGAGGACGGGGGAATATGATGTCATGAGAAAAAAATCCCCTTTCATTGTATGGACTTGTGCAACCTCACTGTAGTAAAAAAGACTCTCAAGCGCATAAGCCAATCAGAATAAGAATGAAAGAGAACACAGAACCTAATCCGCAGCCTGCTATCAAACAGGCCTCTTCTGCACAAGTGTGAGAGGTTGATAAATGCTCTCTCCAGGCGTGCGTGTGTGAAAGCGAAGGTGTTTGTGAGAGAAAGTGAAATGACAAGTGTGGGTGTGTGTTAAAGAGAGTGTGTGTGACTGGCATGCTCTTGACCTGCGGCTGTATGCTGCTAATCCTCTGATCAGGATGCCAGGAGGACCGCAGGGCCTCAGGCCTCAGTCCGGTCTCTGATAGACTGCCCTACTCACAATAATACACCGAGGCCTCAGCCCATTTACATCCAACAGGGCTGCAGGAACCTCAAGCCTGTCACACACAATTCAGACATTTTATCTGAAAACGGGTGGAACCCAGACACCTACAGGAGGAGAGTTACTTACTTATTTCTGCACTATTTTACACCATTTACTAGTATTAGTAGTGTGTTTAAGTCAATCATGCAAATGGACATAGTATACCCAGTACCCAGATGACATCCGGACAAAATGTAAAATAAAAAAAAGATCCAAGATGATCTGATTTTAGCTGGCCAATTACTCTAACTGGCCAACTGGTCTATTACGATCTGTTACTGCTTATTACTGGTAACCCAGCTTGAACAACATAGCCATGATGACGAACCAGTCAAAACAACAACAATTAAATACAAAAGAAACATAAATATACTGGTCTCTGAATCCTTCTTAGCAAGTCTAGGTCTTTTTTTTTTTTGTCAGAAGGGCTGGTTAAAGAAAGTCAGACTAAAGAAACCAGTGGCCGGAGAGTGTAGAGAAAGCACCAAGTGAGTGTGTGTTTATGCGTAGATAGAGGTGGGGGTGAGGAATCTCAGACTGCCAGGCATATACTTAACATTTGTCTGTGTAAGAGTGTCTGTAGGCCCCCAAATCCCTGCGTTTTGTATGGACAAATTGGCAGAACGCGGGGTCTTGTTTGCCCAGCCTCTCTGGAAGGCTGTGGGAAGTGGGTAGGCTGATGAGAGGTGGGTGGGAGAAATCCCCAACAAAGAGTGCCGTGCCTGGGAATAGAACAACTAGATGCCCTGGTCTGAGAACCGGCCTGTCAGAAAGAAGTAACCAGCAGGCAGACACATCTGCCTGGCCTGACCTGACCTGACCCGAATGAAACTGAAAAGAGGAAAACTAGTATATTCACACCACAGCAAAGGGGGCAAGAAAAAAAAACTAGAAAATTATCGTGGGACATTACAATGTTTTTTGAAGGATAATGTGACTGGAGTAACGGCTGCTGAAAAATTAAGTTTTGCCATCACAAGAATAAATCACAATTTAAAATATATTAAAATAGAAAAGTCTTATTTCAAATTTTAACACTATTTCATAAAATTACTGTTTTACTGTACTTTTTCATTTAAATAAATGTAAATATTTTCTTTAAAAATATTTACAAATCTAGTAAAGTACATACATATTTTTGAGTTTGTTAAAAAGTAAAAATGTATTTGTCTGAAGTGATGGATATCTTATGACCAAATATAAGTAGTTACAATTAAAGTGTGTGCACTGCCTATAAAGTCATACCTCAATAAGCTATACATGGGTGCTCAGGAAATGAGTCTGTGTGGGCGACTGCAGGTCTCTTTGAGGTGTGTGAAGCCTTGTGTGATGCCATATGATGATCGGTGCCTGTAGCTAATCATGTGACTAATCCCATTAGTCTAAACACACCCGTTTCCTTTTTCTCATCAAAAAAAAGGTCTTTCTGTCTCTCATCAGTTTCCAGGACACACTCCTTTAAACCTCCACCACCTGATTTAG